AGACAAAATACCCAACACTCAAAGTTAAGGGGAGAAAGGTTTATTTCCCTCAATTTGTGGAGGTTTCAGTTCATAATTGACTGGCTCCAAGACAGGGTGGCTTGGCAAATGATAAGAAACACCCAAGGGTAAAGGGCAACTGGGATGTGGGAAAAGAAAAGGGAAAGAAGGGGAAACTTTGAATGTATGTATATACAGGATAGTTAACATAGTTGTTCTACTGTCTTGATTTCTATTCTATTCTATTCATGAATGGGGAAACCATTTGTGGAAGTGGATGAGAGCAAAAGCAACAAATAAGGGGAGAAGACAAGCCTCTTTCTGTCCCTTATATTGTATCCAGTCTACCAGGATTATGGTGGTGCCATCCCAGTCAGTGGACTGATCCAACGATCACCCACCCTTAATCCCATACTCTTGATCCTGGCATTGAACCATGAATTAATCACACGCTGGATTCAACTACTTCCAGAAAAGCTCACCACCCTCATGACTGCATGAGGCTTTGAGGGAAACATCTAGACACCAGCCATAACATCTGCTGATCTCTCTGATCCCTTGATCTGGCCCTAGAAGATTCTTTGGATGCTGTTCTTGGGAACTGCATACTTTTGGTACTAAGTGGAGGTCCCGGATGTTTGGGGGCTGGGGGGTCGTTTTACCCATTAAACGGGTATTTCAGGCTTTTCATCTTCTCTCTCGCGCATCCAGGGGCATGAACTGAGGGCCTTACACTGACATACCTACTTATTCCTTTCTAAAAATATTATAATTTTGAGACACGGTCTTGCTAAATTGCCCAGGGTTTGCTCAGACTTGCGATCCTTCTGCCTCAGCCTCCCAGAGTGCCGGGATTATAGGTGTGTACCACCACTCCAAGTACTTCTTTAACAAAACGATTCCTTCAGAAGCATAGTGGGCAAGTCAGTCCTTTCCTTCTGGCCAGTTCCATGTGCAAGTAACCCAACTGAAAGGTCTCCCCGGACATGATTTACTAGTCTGGAAACTCAGGCCATCTCATTTTTGACCCCTACCTAATTTGTCCATTCCCCTATCTAACTTAAATCAAGGGCATTTTAAGGCCATCTGAAGCTATAGGCCTGAGTACAAAGGCAAAATCTTTGATTTGCTTTTAGTTCTTTCCCTTTTTGGCAGAGAAATCTTAAAGGAAGTTACTTTAACAAGCCATTCAGGTCTTTGTTGCTTACAAAGGCAGTTGCAGCCATCATTTGCAGCTGCTTCGATCTGAGTGCTCTCACATCAAAGAATACGTAAACAATAATGCTGGAATTTAATTGATATTGCAGCAGTGCTGGGAGGTGAGCCCTTTGAAGGGGGCTTTGTTACAGTTGAATGAGCCCAAAACAGTCCAGGTTCTTGTGCACAACAAGGAAAGAATTGCCAAGCGTTCACCTCATGGTAAGTAGTAAGTAGACAAGTTTATTGAAGATCTTGTCGCGGGTCAGATACAGCCGTTACAGTGCACAACATGCAACTCACCACCGATTCTGTTGTGCAGCCAGAACTGAGAATCACTGGCTTCCGTCACTGACAGAAGGTTTTGTTCAGGTGGTAAAACTAAACTCAACTCATGATGTAAAAGTATTATGTGGACTGGCAGATAATGGAATGGCAGAATAAAAAGAAGGCATTTTAGGCCAGTACCAGCAAAATGCTTGTCTTTAATGTATTCTTATAAAAAAAAACTATGCCAAGTACTCATGAATGAAGTAAATTTATACATATTCCATCATCAACACTACAGTCCCACGTTGATAGCTTTTGATTTCTTGATTTCTGTTCTGATGGTTTACATAGAGATTTCCTCTCTCTTTCAGGCCTTCTTATGGGGTGGTCACCTAGACTTCTGTCTGACTTCTTACCAAGCTTCGCTTCCACTCCTTCTCCTTTTGTTGTAGTCATGCATGCATGCATACATACATACATACACTCAGTCACAGCCAACTATTGCTAACCTTTATGCCTAATCTAAGATCCCAGAATACTATACTAATAATAATACTCCTACCCATCATTTTATCCCACATATCCAGGAAATCAGAATGGTACAGCAAAGGCTTTAGAAAAAGTAAAAGTCAGTCAACACATAAAGTTCAAACTGTAGACTACGGGTCTCTCATAGAGTTTTAAAAATCCATTATTGTTTCTAGTTTGTGGTCCTCCTTCTCCTGAGACATTCTTTTATCTGTATTTCCAAACTCCCTGTCTTTTTAATGATCAGCTCCAAACTTCCTCTTTCAATTAGAAGTGTTGTGTATGTACAACTCAGTAGAAAAACACCAAAGCTGGTAGAGCAGCATTGTACATTCATCTCTAGTTCCCTGTTTGGTAATCAGAAATATCCATTTCTTTGTCTCTAAGCTTAAAATGACTCTGTGACAACATCTATTATTTTCTGAATTATCTAGAATTTACTTAATACTTATTTCAAGTAGCTTGTTCTCAAAATTACCTTTCTTGCAGATTCAGGTCATTTTACATTTATTCCTTTTTAAAATACATTCTACATTAACTCTGAAATCTCTCCTCTAGAACTTGGCTGTACAATTATATTGATTGCATCTTCACTTCTTTATTTCCAAAGTGCACCAGGTAATTGCAGGGGTGCTGCCCAGTCTGTGCCAGGCACAGATGCATGTACTGAGCTAATGAAAGGTTTAACCCTTTGGTACTGGCAGCTTAGCACTCTCTGCACGTTCCTACGTTTTGTAGCATGAAGAAAATTCCCATCACTGGAAGCTAAAGTAAAAATCAAAGCAGAATTATTGATGGCATTTTATAAAGATTAAGGTGCTCAGATGGGCTGCTTCCCCTTCACTCACTTTGGGGATATAGCCCATTGATTCCACACTCAATCAGGGAAGACAGCGCTGTATATCCCAGCACAAAAATCACATTCAGATGCAAAAGCTTCTAGAATCTACCCGATATTGTAAGTATCACATAGAATTAAATGGCAAGCTGTGGAAAGTTAATCAAGTTACAGAATATTTCAGCATATTGATACTGATGTAGACAAACACAAAGTTAAATAATAAATGAACAGGACCAAGTATAGTATATGTAAATGGAATTTAGCACATCAATGTCACTAGGAAAGGGTGAAGTATTCAGTAAATGCTCTTGAGCCAGGCATAGTGGTGCAAACCTGTAATTCCAGCACTCAGGAGGCTGAGGCAGAAAGATTGCTGTGAGTTCGAGACCAACCTGGGCTACAAAGTGAACTCAAGGTCAGCTTGAACTGCATACTGAGACCGTGTCTCAAAAGGACAAAGAAAAAAAAAATGCTCTTGGAACAAAGAGCTAGCTAGTAATTAAATCTGGTTTTGCTTGTCATCTATTATGGCAAAATGAATTTTACATGGATGAAATATTTAAATGTTAAAAATAAAATAAATTACAAGACAGCACACAATTACCAGAAAAAGCAAAGGCAGTATTGTTTAGGCAGGTAAAAATCACTTTTTTGAGAAAGACACCTGAAATACAAAGAAATAATTTATATTGCACAAACATTTTTACCTGTACTGTGTAGTAGAATACCATAAAGAAAAAAAATAAAGAGCTAGAAAAATCATTTCCAATATTTGTGTATGGAACACAAGTTTTCTCTGTAGCTTTTCACATAAACGGTAGCTCCATTATTTCACCTCTAAGAATTTATTCTAAATATGTAAACGTGAGTGTGCTAATTTTATTAAAACATTATCCATGATGGTTAAAATATGAAATAAATCTAAATGTCAATTATTAAGATGGTGTGTATTAAATTATGGCATAGCCAAATAGCCAAGAAAACATGGTATAGCTAAATAGGTTATGATTTATCATCAGGCAATACATAAATATATATGTATATATGAAAATGTGTCCAATATATTCATTAATGAAGACCAGTTTAAAAACAGTATAATCAAATCTGTATATAGAAGGACAGCATGCATAAAATATATGCTTATAGAGGCAGAAATTTTTGTGAATTAATATGACAGAAACTGCAAACAGTAGTTACTCCCTAAGTTAGCCCCGAACGAGGGCTAACTGAATTGGAGATCGGAGATGGAAATATCTTGTACTAACATTTTTAAAGTGCTCACTGAGGTTTTATTTATTTTTGTGAATTTTTTTATTTTAAAGAGAATAGAAAATAAAAAAAAACATAAAAAAGATACAGAATTTCAAAACCAGATGGTAGGAAATTAACAGTGATTGCTATATTGCATATTGTTATCTTCAAAGTAGTTGCTCAGATTACCAGAAATAGACATGCAAAATTGATCAAAAAATTAAGCATTAACTGTTCCTTTCAATAAACCAATAGAAATTAGTAGTAAAATTACCTTAGCTATCTTGTATAGATAGATAGATATTTCAATTCCTAGTTGAGTGCCATTGACACTGTCTGCAATGTGTTGGAATTCCAATAAGATTTAAACATTAGGCAGGTAATTATTTTGCCTCTTCTTTCTCTCTGTCTCAATGGTTTGGATGAAAATTCAATTTTTGAATGATTGTCCATAATAGCTGCCCAAAACTGCACAACGCCTTGTGCCTTTAAAATAACCTTGAATGTCCTTTCTGTCTACCAGGGATTCCTTTGAGGTAATGGTTAAGAGTAAGAACTCCAGGGCCAAGGGTATAGCTCAGTGGCACAAGTACCTGCCTGGTAAGGGCAAGGTCCTGAGTTCAATTCCTGGTACCCTCTCCCTTAAAAGACTAAGAGTTCCAGAATCACAGTGTCTAGTTTTGAATCTTAGCTCTGTAACTTACTAGTTGTAATCATGGATGTGTTAGTCTTTTTGTATCTTGTTTTCCTCATATATAAAAAAGGAATAAACAATAAAATGTTTACAAGAATTAAATAGTGTACGACATGTAAGGATTAGAAAAGTAACTGGAATATAATAAATACTTATTAAATATAGCACTTACTACTATGACTAGAGAGCTGCAGTTATGATCAGTACCTGGAATTTTACCTGTTCTCCCACAGTGAGACTATGATGGAAATTTTCATCTGGATTATTGAAATAACTTCCCAACTTGTTCCTCTGACCACAAAGTTTTTGTTCTTTTTTATCATTCCCTTTACTGCTGGCATTAACTTTTTTAAAGATGGAATTGAGTAATATTACTTTCTTGTAAAATCTTCCAGGAGTTCCCTGTGAACTGGCTGAAGTCTGAACTCTCTGCCTTGACACGCATCATGGTTATTTGTGTGCTAATTTAAGCCCTTCTTGCAAAATAATGGCCCCTCCCCACCTCATATGTAAATTTTTTTTTTTTTTTTTTTTTTTTTTTTGTGGTACTAGGGATTGAACTCAGGACCTTGTGCTTGCCAGGCAGGCACTTATGCCACTGAGCTACGTCTCCAGCCCTCATGTGTAAAATTATTAAGAAGAAAGAACCGTGACTTGTTGCACTAGCTCTATCACATTATCATATAGCCTGTATTATAATATGATCTGATGGCATTAAAATGTGGCCTGATTTTTTCCCATTGAATTTAAAGCAATGTGTTTAGATTCAGTATGTCTGAGATTCTGTATGATAATGCTAACATGATACTCTATTTTTTCAGTGAAATTGGAAATTATGTGAGCTCTTTTGACAATACAGGTGGCTAACAGCTTCACGGAAAAACCTTACATGTAAGTATAGTCATCTCTATCCCAGAAATCCCTCCTCATTTTTAGTCCTTTAATATGAATGGCTTACTAGATAGCTGCATATAGAAATACCGTAAGTATGTTAATCTTGACAGTGAAGTACGTATTCTATATCTTTTATTCTCCACTCACCCAGTTCCCCAACCAAAACCTGAGACACATTTGATATTCCTCCTTCTCACCTCAAAACCTAATCAGGCACAGATCCTCCTGATTGCTTTGGGAACCGTCCTGTCCCCTCTAACAATCAGTATTCTCATCACTTCCTGCCTGGATGATTATAATGACTTCCCCACCAAATCTCTGCACTCATAGACTCATCCCACTTGAGTCACTCTCCTCAGCTACCAGAAAAAATACCGAAAATGTTATCATTTTGCTCTCTTTCACAAAATCCTCAGTAGTCTTTTCATAATGCTTCAAATCCTTCACTCTGTGATATAGGATCTTTCATAAATATTATCTTGCCTACCTCTCTAGACTTAACTCCATTTCCTTAGATATACCTTTTACTTGTTTGTGCCTAAGTAATTCTATGTTCCTGAATGCTGCACAGTAATGAGTTATTTTAATCTCTGCTGGCATGTGATCTTTTCCCTTTGTTATCATGCTCATTGGCTAAACTCTTTCCTGAAAGTTTTTTTTTTAAATTGCAAATTGACAATTTATAATTACATAAATATATGAGTGACAAAGTGATATTATGATTTATGAATATAATGTAGAATAATTAAATCCAACCACTTAATATGTTTATCACTTCAAATCCTTAACTTTTTATGGTGTATTTGACATTTATTCTCATAGAAATTTTGGTATATACAATATTTTACTATTAACTATGTTATTATGTTGTGTAGTACAACTAAAATATATTTCCTCTCAGACTATACACACATTGACCATCATTTCCGTCTGCTTCTGTGAGTTTCATTGTTTCAGACTCCATATGTAAGTAGGAACATGGGGTGTTTGTCTTTCTGTGTCTGCCTTAATCTATTTGGCATCATGCTCTCCAATTTTACTGTTATCACAAATGACAGAATTTCCTTCTTTTTTAAGCCTGAACACCATATATATTATATTATATATATATGTATATATATATAAAATAAATTTTTTTTGTTCATCTTTTCATGAACACTTTGGCTCCATAGCTCGGCCGTTACGAATATTCCTACAATGAACATAGATGTCTCTTTGATAAGTTAGTTTCAATGTTTTGGGTAAATGTTCAGAAGTGGAACTGACTGACCACTCATTTAGCAATTTTATTTTTGCTTTTTAAAAGAACCTTCATACGGTTTTCCGTGATGGATGTATTAATTTATATTTACATTCCCATTTTTCTCTTTTCTGATAGCTATTCTTACAGCGAGAGATTGTAGATTTGCTTTGCAGTGTCCTCATGATGAGGACTACTGAGCACTTTGTCGTATCTGTTGGTCGTTTGTTTGTCTGCTGAGAAGTCTGTGTAGATACCTTGATCTTTCATAACATGTTCTTTTTCGGTGGAGTTGTCCAAGCTCGTTATGTATTCCGGATAGTAACTCCTGAAATTAGGCTCCTTCAGAAAAACAGAACCAACAAAATGTACGTATGATGATGAGAGGGGATCTGTTAGGTTGGCTCCTATGACCAGAGGCCAGATGGGTCCCACAGCGACCAACTGCAGGGTGGAGAGCTGGGGAAACCAGCCGGTGTTCAGTCCAAAAAGCTGGAATCATCAGTACAAGGGGATCAGTGATGCAGCCACAGTCTGAGGTGAAGGCCTCCAAGCCCTGCAGGGTTGCTAGACCACGTCTGTGTTCAAAGCAGGGAAGACTTGGGAGTCTGTTGTCGGCAGGTGATAGCAGCAGCAAATCCTGCGCTTTCTCTACCAGAACTAGGCTTGCGTATGTGTGGTGCGTACATGCATGTGTGCTTCCGCCTTCTGCTTTTTCATGCGTCCAGCTCCTCAGCCTGTTGGATGGTGCTGCCTACGTCTAGCCAGGCTTTCCTCTGTCAGTTTGCTGACGACATGCCAGTCATCTCTGGAGACATCAGCCCACTACGTTGTCTCTCCATCCAGGTGAATTGATAATGAAAGTTAAGTATCATACCCCTTGTCAGATTATCCACTTACAAGTATTTTTCTCCCAGTCCATGGCTTCTCTGTCCATGCTACCTTTTTTTCCTTTGCCTTTTTGTTTCATATAATCCCATTTGCCTGATTTTGCTTTTGCTGCCTGCATTTTCTGGGGTCGAATCCAAAATATCATTGGCTAGGCTAATTTTCTGTAGTTTTATCCTCATATGCTTTCCTCCTGGGCCGTCTGGTTTCTGGTTTTATGTGTAAGTCAGTCATCAGTCTTGAGTTGATTTTTTTATATGGTGTGAGATAAACTTCCAATTTCATTCTCCTGCATGTGAATATCCAGTTTCTCCAACATCAACACTAAATGAACTGTTCTTTCCCATTGTGTATTGTTGGCACCTTTGCCAAAAACCCATTGACCTTCTGTGTATGGGTTCAAGTCTGGGCTCGCTATTCTATTCCATTCCATTGTCATTGTGTCTATTTTCCCCGTTTCAAGCCTTTTTAATATACTAAAGCTTTGCAGTGTAGTTTGAAATAAGATAGTGTGAATCCTCCAGCTCTGCTCTTTTCTTCTCCTCACTGCGTTAGCTTTGTGGGTATCTTCCTGTTGATGCTTCTTGGTATTTGCTTTGTTCCATTTCATTCTTCTCATTCAATATGAATTTTATGGTTTTTTTATTTCTAGGAAGAATGACATTGGAATTCTAATAATGATTGTACTATATACACATTTTAATGACATTAGTTCCTCCAGTCCAAGAACACAGGGCATCTTTCTACTTATTTGTGTCTTCTTAATTATACTATTGACATTGCTCAAGCTGTTTAAATATTTGTATATTAATATTTACATTATTTAATGTATCATCATTCTTTTTTATTTTAAATAGAACAAAAAACCACAAAAGTGGTACAGAATTATAGAACAAGATGATAGTAAATTAATAATGGTTTTATATCATATTATTATCTTAAAAGTAGATACTCAGATTACCGGATACAGGCATGAAAAATTGATCAAGCAATATAAACACTAACTGTTCCTTTCAATAAACTGATAGAAGTTAGTAGTACATTTATCTTAGCTATCTTATCTATCTATCTATATATATATTTTTTTTCCTTCTTTTCTCCTTTCCCCATCCCAGTTCCTCTTTCCTTCTCAGCAGTTTCTTTCCCTTTTACAATATCTGTTGTACCTTTTGGACTTTACTCTTTCAGTTTCTTACACCAGGGAGACAATACAATGTTTACACATGCGAGTCTGATTTATTTTACTTATGAATATGGTCTCTAGTTGCATCCACTTACCTATAAAAGCCTCAAGTTTAACTTTATAGCTGAGTAATATTTCATTGTATAAAAATATCACATCTTTTTATCCATTCCTCTGTTGATGGCCATTTGGGTTGTTTCCAAGACTTAGCTGTAATAAATTGTGCTGCTATAAATATGAGTGTATATATCTTGCTGTGATATAATGTTTGCAGTTCTTCTAGGAAAATACTCAGAAGGGGAATAGCTGGGTAGAATGGTATCTCCAATCCTAGGTTTTTGAGGCATATCCACACTGATATGCACAGTGGTTTCACCAGTCTACACTCCCATCAACAGTGGGGAAGGGTTCTTTTTCACCACAAGCCCACCAGCATTTGGTTTGGGTTAATTTTTTGATGATAGCCGTTCTTTCTGGGTGAAATGGAATCTCAGTGTTGTTTTAATCTGCATTTCTTGAATGACCAATAATATTGAATATATATATATATTTGTCATTTATATTTCTTCATCTAAGAAATGCATGTGCATCTCAGTTACCCATTTTTGGATTGGATCTTTGAGCTTTGGGGATCTGATACTTTTAATTCTTAAAAGAGATCCAAGAGGGGCTGGGGATTTAGCTGAGCGGCACAGTGCCTGCCTGACAAGCGCGAGGTCTCGAGTTTGATTCCCAGTACTGGGGGAAAAAAAAAAAAGAGAGATCCAAGAAGATTTCAGAAAATGGAAAGATATTCTTTGCTCATGGATAGGAAGAACCAACATTGTGAAAATGGCCATACTCCCATAGTTGTTACACAGATTTAATGCAATCCTGATCAAAATACCTTTAGCATACCTCACAGAACTAGAGAAAACATTCCTAAAATTCATCTGGAACCAGAAGCGACCTAAAATAGGAAAGCCAATCCTGGGTAACAAAGGCAAGGCCAGAGGCATCACAATTCCTGGCTTGAAATTATACTACAAAGCTACTGTGATAAAAGCAGCATGGTAGTGGTGAAAAAACAAACCTGAGGAACAATGGAACAGATTAGAAGATGCAGACACAACTACAAATGCACTCAGCCACCTTACCTTTGACAAAGGGGCCAAACATGTTCACTGGAAGAAAGACAGCCTCTTTAATGAATGGTGCTGGG